AAGACTTTATTTATTTATTTTTTTCTAAGATGAAGGCAGGTAAAGGACATGCTTTCAGACTTTAAGTATGAAGGCAGAAGATGAAACAATTTCAAAATAATTATACAGTAACAATAATAACCACAATTTGAGTACTAGGTGGTTTACATTTTCTACTTCCTAATCTCCCTCCAGAGGAGTTATTAGTACCTTTAGTTTTCCAGAGGAGACTGAAGCAATTATCACATGGCCCAGATCACACAGCTCACACTTTGTGGAAATGATATTTAAGTACAATTTTTTTAAAGCAAAAACCATGGTCTTTATTGCAATTCTTATAGGGTAGGTGGGTGGAGTTAGTAGCAAAGGAGACTGGGGAAGGCTTTGTGTTGAAACTGAATAATGATGAAGGCGTGAAGAAATAAAAGTATTTTTTTCGTGTGTGTGTGTGTGTGTGTGTGTGTGTGTGTGTGTGATGTAAACAGCAAGGAATTTAAACCTGAAAGGATGATGAAATTTAGAGAATTTTAGACTTGTGAGGAATCATGAATGCAGCTGATAAAGTTGAACAAAATATTTGCTGAGCAATGTTGATAGAGTGGTGAAAAATATCAGATGTAGCATCAGGAAGCTCAGGGGGGGAAAAGTATGCAAAATGGACTCTTCATGGTCACCACATATAGGGCACTGGGCTCTAGACAACTTCCACTGTATCACTGGAAATGAGATAAGAAACACATTTTATTGAAGAATCTCAGAATTTTAAGATTAAGAAGAGAGGTTATAAATCAGCTTTTCTTTCATCATCCCCATGATGAAGTGAGTGGGACCAGGAGTACTCAGACCCTCAGAATGTACTTATGTTTCCAAACACTGTGGAATGGTGGAGGTTTTTTGAAAATGCTGTGTGCCTTTTTGGCTTCTTGAACAAAGTGAATTGACATGTTAGAGAATGTCGTTTTTTGTTTTGTTTTGTTTTTGTTTTTGTTTTATACCTCAGACCTATTTGCTCTTCACTTTTCAAGCACGTTAGATCTAGAGCCATCTATTCCTCTTCAAAAGATAAAACTAATCTTTCCCCAGGAGAAATTCTGAGTCGTAAACCTGCAGACGTACCTTTTTTCCCCCTCTGGAGACATTGATTGGCCTTCCAAAAGGTTAAGAACAGAGGCTTTACCTTTCTCTTCCCCAGGAGAATGTGTTTACATTAGAGAGATTAAATTTATCTACTCTAAAGAGGTGAAGGAAGCAAGGTGTACAGGTACCAGATTCATATTTTCAGGGTTCCTGTCCTATAATACAGACCCTGGTAAGTGTACGACAATATCTGACTCTCATCACATCACCCTAGAAGAGAGGAGAAGTGAGTCAAAGAATCAATGTGATTATTGTTATAACAATAATAATCTCTCCGTGTCCCAGAAAGCTCGGATCTTCTTTTAAAACAATAGGAGTAAATGTAGATATTAGAGACTCTTCATATTGCACCCATATGCTATTGTCTTTTCTATTTGCAGTTCAAACTTGAAAATAAAATTATTATTGTGATGACAAGCAATCTAAGTTTGAATGCTTCTATTTCCAGATGTCTGAGGGCCAGGCATCCAGGATGTAGAGTCCAAGATCCATGGGAAGCTGTGGTCCTTTCACCTGTGAGGGGGGAAAAAGACACTGATGCCATGGAAACTCTAGCCAGGTGCAGCTCTTTGCCTGCAGGAGTCCTAGTAGCTGACTCTTCCTAAAACCTCCAGTGAACAATAGAGTTTCAAAGAGGCCTGCTCTTTGCATTAACAGAAAACAAAAATGTGGTGTGTCGATATAGCATATGGCACAATCCAAAGAAGATCAGAATGGAAGATGCTAGTAAGAATCATCGAAATAAGCAAATTTTCAGGGTTAAATTAGAAAGAAAATGAGTCAGGACATTCTAGAATATTGGAAAACTGGACAGTTAATAGCTATTTTGGTAATGTTAGGCTGAACACCAATTTCAGTGGGAGAAGCATGGAGATTTTGGAGGAGTAGTTATTTAGAATTGGTCAGAGGACGATCAGATTTTAATACATGAAAGATACTACATCTCTGGACAGTGACATAGCTTAGGATGTTATGCTAAGAATAGATTGTTTAAGTAGAAAGGAACAGTAGGGGATCCCTGGGTGGCGCAGCGGTTTGGCGCCTGCCTTTGGCCCAGGGTGCGATCCTGGAGACCCGGGATCGAATCCCATGTCAGGCTCCCGGTGCATGGAGCCTGCTTCTCCCTCTGCCTATGTCTCTGCCTCTCTCTCTCTCTCTCTCTCTCTCTCTCTCTGTGACTATCATAAATAAATAAAAATTTAAAAAAAAAGAAAGGAACAGTAGGTGGTTGAAGAGACAAAGCTAAGGAAAACCACATCTTCGAGTAGTCTCTTTGTGAACATCTTAACTGCTGCCATGCATTAAAGCAAAGGGTAGAAACTAGTCTATAGATCCAGGTGTGGAAGGTATGAATAAAATATGACTGGGGGCGGGGGGAATAAAATAGATATAATTAGATGTTATTTTCAAGAAGCTTTTGCAGGATGCAATCTAGAAGCAGAAATAAAGTATCCAAAGAAATACTAACCCAATATCAAGAACTTCTACTATAAGGAGCTGAGAGATGAGGATATGAACAATGAGAAGCCCAGATCTGGGACTGCTCCATTAAACCTCCTTTCCATGCATCCTATAAATGTTACCTGACAAGTTATCTGGTCCAACTTGAACTTCACACTAGTTATAAGAGTTGAGTCTGACTCATCAAACTAGGTTTGAAAATTCTACCCCTCACAAGAACAAGAAAATCAGCTGTCTTCCCGACCCTTAACTTTTCTAATCCACAAAGCATGGATGTCCATGCCTAACTTATTAAATCAGATACTTGCTTGTATATTGAATGAAATTATATGTATAAACTATATAAATCTTTAGCGTAGGACAAGACACGGAGTCTGTATTCAATGCATGGCTTTTAGCATTATTGTATTAACAATCTCTTCCTCAACAATACATTGTCAAATCCATTGGCCTTTTCTGCCATCAAGATTTTGCTTGTGTTTTTTTTTTTTTTTACCTTTTTTCATATCTAGCTATTCTAAAGGTCATGGCTCATGTTTACCAATATGAGACACTGAAATGGAGGTGTATATTCATTTGGAATCAACACCTATGGAAGGAAGGGGCAAGAAGAAGAAATTGAGTTGTAATACAAGCCCAATAAAGCTTTGGTCAACCTCCTGGGGGAATCTGGAGTGAATACCACCTATCAGTGTTGGCCTATATTGAGCCAAAATGCCAGATATTTATATAGCTGACTCTCCCAGTCACCAGATATGGCCCCCAAAGCAATGGAGTAACCTCCATGAGGTGTCTCCTCTGCAGAAGGTCTGTGACCCATGTTCAAACTGGAAGGGCCAGTAGCTGGAAGCTGTCTGCTGACCACATTCCTGGAGATGCAATGAATCCTTCCCTGAGGGAAAATCTGGATGGTTCTTTTCTGGGTATACCACGCTGATATCCGTCTTACATTAGGCACTTATTTAAAAAGTGGTCTTTATTTGTACCGTTACTTTACAAGTTTCATTCTTGTAATCCTAATTAGAATATAAGCTACATACTATGGGAACAAAGTTTAATATTTCTTTTGTAGTCATCATAGCACCACATACAGTATGCAGCAAATATAAAGTACCTATTTTTTGAATTATGGATAAAATAATTCCAAGTATAGCATCACCTTTGTCCAAAGTGCATTGCAAATATTGTCAGAATGTTTATTTTTATTATTATTATTTTCTTATAGCAGGAGGTAGGGAGGAACAAAGGGAGTAGGAAAGAGAGAATCTCTTCTTAAATAGGCTCCATGCTCAGTGCAGTGCCCAACACGCGGGCTTGATCTCACAACTCTGAGATAATGACCTGAGCCAAAGTCAAATGTTTAACCAATTGAGCCACCCAAGTGCCCCATGTTGGATTCTGTTCTGAAGGGCAAGTCAAGTATCTATTTTAGGACCAGTATCAATTATCCAAAGTGAGTTACAGACCATGGTTATAATTACACCCTCAGCCTGATAGAAGTTACTCATTTAACACCCATATATGAACTTCCTCTTTTCTGTCAGGTGCTGTTCTCAGCCACAGGGATGCAGCAGCAAACAAAATAGATTACTTATCTGTTCTCACATAGATGACATTCCAGGAGTCTTACAGTGGCTTTCTGAAGAGAAGACCACAGCTTCGACTACAAACAAAGAAATGTATCACTACAGTTGTCCTGACAAAATGGCAGATCAGATAGCGATGGGTGGTTCTTGCTCTACTTTGTGGAGCAAAGTGTCTTAGTCAACCAAGAAGATTCCTAGCTTCAGTGAAATGCTGTAGGAGCAACTTCAGAGGAATGTTTCAAATATTTCTCCTCCACTTTGTAGGAGAAAGCTGCATGGCTTTTTATTCCCACTGGAAATCACAGTGCTAGATTTTTAGTATTCCAATAACAGTTTTGGATTAACACACAAAACCCAACCATCTTCCTCTAGTTCCTGACTACGGGCATGTAGAGGTTTCTGCCTCCTGTTTCTCTGTGCAAAAACACAGAGCATCCACATCCCACACGTTATATTCCCTCACACAAGCACCTCTATCAAATATTGTCTATCTATGTCAGCATATGGCTAAAGCAAGGAGTTGAGGTCATGATCCCAACTCAGGAAAAGAGCATGACATACTTTAGTGGGTCAGGGTCTGGCTACTGGGTAATATTGCTTTTCTAGTTGCCCACCATGAGACCATGCTCCTTTTACATAATTACAACAATTATTCGATTTACACCATTACCTCTGTTTCTAAATAAGATTTAGAACTACACAACCACCAATAGGAGTATGACTTACCTGGTCACGGTCAGTTAAGGAGCATCTACAGTTGGCAGAGAAAAGCTGGAATTTAAAGCTGCACTGTGAACAAAGGCAAAGGTTAAAAGCATTATTTTAAAAGCTCTTTACCCTGGGGATGTCTTCTGGAAGTGTAAGCCGTCCCTCTTGGGAGAAGTGGGAACACTTTGAGCATTTGTGCATCTGTGATTTCGTCCCAGAGGAGCAAATTTCTTACATGCAAACATGAATCTGTATTAGCTGACAGAGCTCTTCTTGCTGCTGAGACTTCAGTCATGTTTAAGCCACGTGAGTCAGGATAGTGCAGTACAGGGCAGAGGCAGAAAATCACGAGGAAGCGTCTTCCAAAAAAGAGCAAATGAACTTACATAAAGGAGGTGATGAAGAAGGAGACTGAGTAGGGGTCACCTGAGCACGTAGATTTTGCTAAGTCTTTATATAGGTTATTGCATGTGTGTCTGCCTATGAAGGCACAAAGGATATTTTAAATTACTATATAAATGTATCACCATCATCATCATTATATATCGTATGTTATTATTTGTCAACCTCAATATGAAATATATATTCTTTGTCTTTCAGAAATCTTCTTCTCCTATGGCCATTGTGACTCCAGGAATAACAACAACAAAAAGATTGATTACCCTTCCCTGAAGTCTCCGTATGACCCACTAGTAAAATACAAGGAATGAAAAAGGTAAAGCATCAATAAGAGGTCCATGTTGCTCTGCAAAATCTTTCTTTTTAAAAAAAATATTTCATTTATTTATTCATGAAAGATACAGAGTGAGAAGCAGAGACACAGGCAGAGGGAGAAGTAGACTCCCTGCAGTGAGCCCGATGCGGGACTTGATCCCAGGACCTCAGGATCACGACCTTAGCCAAAGGCAGATGCTCAACTACCGAGCCACCCAGGTGCCCCTCTGCAGAATCTTTCTATAACCTTTCTTTTTTATCTTTTGTAGGCCCAGCCATTAGCACCATTATCCTACAGTGGGAGATGTGGTAGGTATTATTTTAGATTATAAGGTATCTCCTTCCTTCCATCCTTCCCTCCTTCTTTTCTAAATTTTTCTTCCTCCCTCCTTCCCTTGTTTCATTCCTTCACATACTTATGCAGCAGCATATACAAAATAATACAGAAGTTATTTATTATGCTATTGTTTTTGATGACTTATGAGCAATGAAGTTTTATCCATACCAAGGATTTGTTCTATATGGTTTTCTTCTTTGCGCAAAATTTAATTCATTTGCCTCAAGGCCAAGAGCCAACATATTGATTTATGGCTGTCAGCTTGATTATATTTTCCTGCTAAAATATACTTTTAAAATATTAAAATATGTTAGTTATTATATTAAATTAATTATATAAAATTAATCTTATAAAAATTATATTAATTACTTATGTAACCCAATAGGTTTAAATGAGAAACAAACTCATTTCACTTTTTATGACATGATTCAACATTTTACGCAAATGTTTTTGTCCTTGGGGTTAAGGATAATTGGTGTCCTTTGTATGGGACAGAGAAATGTAAAAATCATATAAATGTGTTAAATTAGTTTCCTAGAGCCTCGGTAACCAATTATCAAAAACTTGATAGTTTAAAGTGATAAATATTTATTTAGCTCTCACAAAAGTCAGGAAGCCAGAGGACTTCTTTTTTTTTTTTTTTTTTTTTTTTTTTTTGTTCAAAAAGATGTTTATTTTGTGATCTGTGTCAAACTGTCTCATTCTCAGTGCAAGTGATCCCTCCTCTCCAGGAAACAAGAATGGGAAGAGGGGAGTCTTTCATGAGGTCTCAGCCCCCACAAGGCCCCTGGGAAACCCCACACAGTTCTGAGAATTGATGGGAATCCCAACAAAGACTAGGGTGGGTGAAAGGCAATGACAAGAGGGGTGGTGGTCACCAGTCAGGAAGCTGGGGGTTGGAGAACCCTATCCTTAGCCCTGCTTAGCTTTGGGGCTGCCATGTGCATGATGGAGAAGGAGGAGTGAGACGATTTCCCTCCTATCTTGAAGCACCCCTTGTCCAGGCATGGCTTTGATTCCGCTCAGGGCTCAGGTGAGACGAGCAGGAAATTGTTGTGGGCTGGCTACTTCATAAGGTGCTGCTGCTGGTGCCCCGGAGTCCAACACCACGGACAAACTCATTTTCCTCGGGGCCACCCTCCTTGCAAAGGCTGTAGATTAGAAAACTTCCTTAGCTCTTGCAGCTTCTGGTGTCTGCAGGTGCTCCTTGGTTTATGGCTGAATAATACCAACCTTTGTGTGTCTTCACGTGACCTTCTTCCATCTCTCTGGGTGTCCTTTTCTGTCTTAGAAGGTCATTCACATTGGATTTTTTTTATTATTATTATTCACATTGGATTTAAGGCCCACCGCAGGCCAGCATGATTTTGTCTCAATCCTTACCTTTATTATACCTGCAAGGACCCAATTTCTAAATAAAAGCATATTCTGAGGTTGGGGGTAGACATGAATTCTTGGAGGGACACCGCTAAACCCACTACATGCATTAATGCAAAAGGTGAGCATTTTAGAGTTGTTATAAGATTAGGATGGATGCTGTGATAGCCACTAAGATCTTTCATGAGTGAAGGACCCACTGGATGTGCTGTTGGCAGGAGACCCCCAAACATCAGTAATTCTTTTTGGGAATTATCTTAGCTGAAAAGGACCACCTCATCCAAGATTCTGTGAGTGGGTTGCATCCAATGACTGATGGGGGAAAGGCGATGAAGACATAATGTTCTTTCCTCCACTCGTGATAGCTCTCAAGGGACATCATGCCTTCATTGCTCTATGCAGGGTCAGCTCAGGTTTCCACTGAGGTTGCATTCCACGTTGACATCTCAATCTGCCTCATGCAGTTCTCCCGTCTATCTTTCTCTTTCCCTCCCCTACCAGATGCCTCCTACACAGCTTGCAAGGGCACTCACTTACAAACCTTCCTTATACTAAACTTGTTCCAGATTCTACTTCCAGGGGATTTCTTCCTGCAATAGAAGATATGGATACACAACTTATAGGAATGTTTCACAGAATAATACTAATCTCCATTATCTACTATACCTTTTATTATATTATTATTTTGCTTTATTCCATCCTATCCTATTATGTTCTACTTGTCCTATCTATCCTATCCTATCCCAGCCTATCTTATCCTAGCCTACCCTATCCTATCCTATCCTATCCTATCCTATCCTATCCTATCCTATCCTATCCTAATCTTATCCCATCCTAGCATCTTGACCTACCCTATCTTGTCTCAAACTGTTCCATTCTATCCCATTGTGTATTGTGGGCAGAGATTAAAGAATCTGTGTCAAGAAAGACTCAGTAGGAACCACAAACAATAGTTGGAAGAAACATTGCTCTTGAGTGCTTTGCTGTGAAAATAAAGCACATTTCTCTAACTGCAGTTACATTGACTCCTAAAAGAAAAATGTTTAAATTTACAAATATATTAATAGCCCTCTAGACCATGCAAATGGTAACTTGGGTTATTAAGTTTTGCCAAAATATTATTTAAATTTCTAGAAATGCCTATAAAATGAATCTTAAAGATGTAACCAATTACTCCCCAGATTGAAATGAACAAAAATGCATAGAATGTGAAATATAAATTTAAAACATTCTTATTTAAAATATTTGGAATGTCTCATCCTAAGGTAGTAAAGAAAGTTTGATTCAATAAGCAAAGATACAAACACATATTTCTTACCATGAATCAGAATTTGCCCTGATACATTTAAACTTGCAAGGTAACAGGACACGACAAATTTTCTGGTGGTAGCAGATCTTTGATACCAATTTGCACATTTTCTGCCTTCTATTTGGTACACTTTTAGAATGAATTACACACCCCAAAATTCTGTAAAACCTCATATCAAACATGTTAAGTCCTTCATCCCCTGCCATCTTTTGTTTTGTCCATACAAATCTTTTCTTTAAGTATATCAACTTTTATTGTTTTCCTTTTCTTTTTTTTTTTATAAATTAATTTTTATTGGTGTTCAATTTACCAACATACAGAATAACACCCAGTGCTCATCCCGTCAAGTGTCCCCCTCCGTGCCCGTCACCCATTCACCCCCACCCCCCGCCCTCCTCCCCTTCCACCACCCCTAGTTCATTTCCCAGAGTTAGAAGTCTTTATGTTCTGTGTCCCTTTCTGATATCTCCCACACATTTCTTCTCCCTTCCCTTATATTCCCCTTCACTATTATCCTTTTCAAAACAATTAAATTCTTGTTTTGGTATGGCTGTGTGTTGGTCTTTAAGATTAAATAATTAGAAAAGAAAATGATGTAGGTGTAGTACAGTGGGAAAAGCTCTAATCTTGGTCTTTAGTTTGCCCAGTTGGAATTCTATTAGTCAATATTTTTAAAAATTAAGTATTAGGTACTTCATATCTTCACTTTAAAAATAATAATAATAAGACTGGCATACATGTTTTAAGGTTGAATGCCAAACTGATTTTTTAAGGAAAACTTCTGAAAGGAATCCAGAGTTCAAGACATATACAGGCTTGACAATAATTTTTTTAAAAATTTAAAAAATAAAGTATCAAATGCTGGTTTTTGAGTCAACTGTCAAGTTGGTATCTGGTACTTCTTATTGTAATATATCAAGAACTATGCAGATTTCAGAGAAATATCCTCTTTCCTTATTGAGAACCTACTAGATGGAGGTTCCATTAGGACTTAGAGGGATATAAGTATGAGTCAGACATATTCAGGGTCCATAAAAAATATAGAGAAAGGGGGTAAAAGATAATTATCAGCAAGAACTTGTTACCATTAATAATGGGAACATTGACATGAGAGAGACATAATTGAGATTTCAAAAATATAATAGGAAATCAGGTGTTAGAAGTTTTCTTAAAAGAAAATTGACCACTGCACATCTATTATAACAACAAAAAACCAACAACCTGACCGTACCAGATGCTGGTGAGGATGTGAAGACACAGGAATTCTCATTCATTGCTTGTGGTAATATAGCTTGGTACAGCCATTTTGGAAGATGGTTTGGCACATTTTAATAAAACTTTATATACTCTTACCTATAATTTAGCAATTGTGTTCTTTGATATTTACTCAGATAAGTTGAAAACTTATGTCTACACAAAACCTGCAAATGTTTATAGTAGCTTTATTCATAATTTCAAAACTTGAAATTACCAAGGTTATTTCAGAAAGTGAAAGGATAAACTGTGTTA